AAACCTTTATATAGAAATGATATTATCCAGTGTATTGAATATGTCAATCAATACTGTTGATGCTGGTTTCAAATGATTTTAATTCCAAGACTTCTTCAGTGATTTCAAATTCTTTTATTGTTCTGACAAAGGTAAGGAAATGGCTGAATTCAGCTACATCTGTGCTGCTAGAGAGTAAACATTCTTCCAAAATACTCTGAAACTTCACTGCCCGATTCATTAATTCTTCTACTTAATGTCTGATGAGACAAGGGCACTTTAAAAATATTAGTCATATTATTATCTCAAAATGAAGATGACATTTTTACAGCACATCTTTTAATGAGCTTACCATTCCTAAAAGATTTTTTTGCTTTTAGCTAACTCTATGCACACCTTATTGTCTTCAAACCAGCATTGTTTTATGATTGCAAGATATTCTTCTGTCTAGTTATTTCACCTTCAAATCATTAAACACACAATTCCTTCCCTGGTATTGCTCACATTGTGATTTAAGCAAGCTGGTACAGCGTCTATTCACATTACATTTAAGTGCTTCGAAAGTTAAATCTGTCAGACCTTCAAAACATGCAAGTTTCGAGAAAAATGATTTTTTATAATGTTAAAAAAAATAACTTGCCTGCCACTTAGCCTGAATCGTTGTTTCTCATCTTAAACATGTTGGTTTCTTAGTTCTGCCATTTTACTTAGCAATGAATCAAAGCGATAATAGAAGCATGCATGCCATGGGATTATAATTGTCAAAGTGTGAAGGTTATTATTTAGGTAGCCATTATAAGAGAAATAAAGATTATAAGGTGCTGCCATCTGATAAGAAGTGTTGCCGATATCAATGGCTTTCTGCTAAATCAGCTTTTTTGTATGCCCTGCAGCATAGTGGGAAGAAAATAACACTTAGCATTGGTGACTCTGTTCTGTCGGCAATAATGCTGATAGCATTTCCTGAAATTTTACTGAACACTGCCAGCTAGTTAGCATCCTAATGACTGTTTAGCACAAATATGATTTATTGTTTATTTTTATTTAAAGCAGTTTCCAAATGTTAAATATTTTTATCTGATGAGGGCATTTGTCAACAAAAATAAATAGTGGGCTGCGGGTTGGACAGTACGGCCATATTTGATTAGTTGTTGAACTGTGCACAAAACAGACAATCATTCTGTTTTGCTAGATTTTAAATACTGGCAAGTTGTGACAACAAGTTACGTAATGATAAGTTGGACTGTGCATTCGTTTTAAAAAGATGGTATAGCAGAGTACCACAAACTTGACTCTCAATACCTCGACAACTTGTTAGGAACTTTAAGCTATCTCTAGGTCAAACAGAGCAAATATTACACATAGTATATATAATCATTATTTATGTGTATGTCTGTCTTGTTCTGTTCAAAGATTTGGGTGTTCTTTTCTGTAATTATTGCCATTTTCGCATTGTGCCATTAATTCCTAGAACTGCCTAACAAATTTCAAGATATGGTGTAATACTTGGCAACGCTGCTTGCTTCTTTCAAGGACATGAACAAAGTCAGGTAGCAGCTGGCCCACACTCCTTTCAATTGTTGCAAAAGTTAGGAGACATGTCTGTAGTTTTGTGACTGCAACTTATTGCAAACTAAACTCGCACCAGTTCACTGTGGGTATTGTCCCTCGTTCATGTCCAGGCATACAAGTGTTAACATATTTTTAATATTCTGTGCAGTGAAAATGTTGTTCAGTTATGTTGTTTGTCACATTAGTTTGCTCGAAAGAAAACAAACTAATGTGACAATGAAAATGAAAATAGATGCCTTAAAGAGACTGGACAAAAGGGAAAGTGTAAACAAAATTAAAATGGATTTAGATGTTGGACCATACTTTAATAAGGTGGGAAAAGAAGAGTTCCGAGATTGAGTCTTGGTGTGTAAAAAGAGCATGTAGGGACATAAAAAAACATAACTGACATAGAAAAATCAAGATCAATTTAAATGTATGCTGTACTTTTCCATGTCCAATATTGTGCTACAAATGTGTAGAGTAATGTACAGTTAAATATTAAAGAGTTTTAAAAACCCACCCCTTATTCTGTAAAACTGGACATTCTCTCAGTCCACATTATATGTCTAGTTTCTGAGACTCTACTGTATTATATTATATAGTAATGGGATGTAACCTTGGCCGAAACATTGTTCAGCCAGAAAGACACATTGGGAGTTGCCCTTTCAACAACAAAAAGCCTCCTAGCAATTTCTAAACATAAAATTTTTTTAACATTAATCTCATTATAATTAACTCCCAAGCAATCAATCCCGAGCTTTGAGTAACTAGGTTATATAACAAAATATAATAAACTAAAAAACATGAATGGTGAGAATCATCTCACCTTAACTTCAACCATGAGGTTAGTTATTTAAGAAAAATACAGAGACAGAAGTATGAATGAGGCTTTAGTTTATTTAAGTATTTTATTTGCATTAATATTGTTGCATCATTACATTATGTGGAACTGAAGGGAAAAAGGTGCTATCAGTTTTAAAAACTAAGTAGATATTGCCTGTTTCACACTTTTGTAAGAGTATTGATCACTTTGTTACATTTGGTCATTTAATATTAATAGTGCTAATGGCAACAAAAACTGATTTTTTTTAGTGTTCATTCGTATCTTATATCCATTTTACTTTTATAACTGTTAGCCCAACTTGCCATAACTTCATGGAGATTTTACAATTTTTTTTTAACTGTAGAGATAAAAAGGATTACACTGGATCATTTAGATTATGGCAAAGCATATAAGGGCTGTCTACATAATAGGATAGGGATGCTTTCATGGAGGACCTTGGGAAACTGAGTCACATTTATGTTACATATGAGGAACATCATGAAAACTCTCATGCAAGCAGCTTGTTTGCTGGGATTTGAAGCCAGGGAAAACTATATCAGTGTTCAGCTATCTTATCACTGAGTCAGATGGATAGGAATTAAATCTAGGGTGATAAAAATTTGTTTTTCAATTTTTTATGGTAACTTGTTCAATGACAGAAAATCAATTCAATGACGGTGCTGTTTGAGTTCTTTATGTCTCTACAAGATCTGCAGATGATATAAAAGTTAATCTTGAATTTATCAATGACAGTAAGTGATTTGATAAAGTGGAGTAAAATTTTTTAGACAATATTTTTACTGTTTGCCTTTAAGCCTTGCTCTTGAGAGAAGTTCTGATGGATTTAATTAAATTCCATTTGATGAAAATGTATGTAGGATAATCATAACTATTGCTCATTTTAAGTATGAAATGGCGAATAATACTGCTAACACTTAGAATGAAGCAAGACTTAATATATTATACAGCGAGACTAAATTTAGGGCCATACTTCATATTACACAGGTGTAAAATATCAATCATATTCGAATTACCTTTGATAACAAGACTGTGAATGAAATTCTTTAAGTGCCCACAATCACTTTACATTTAATACTTATACCAGTTTTCTTATTAGGAACTGGAAATAAATCTGTATAAATTAAGAAAAACACAAAATTTGATTACAATAATAAGTAGCTGCTTTGGAAGACTGGTAGTCTACATTAAATGTGATCCATGAAACTTTAGTGTTATTTTGTGAAAAGACATAACAGAGAATTTAATCTTCCATTTTAACAAAAATGCAAGTTTTTTTATAGTTTTGTAAAAATAAAGATGGTTTAAATAATTATATATTGAAAGAAAAATGATTTCAGGACGCATTGCTGATGAGTATTATTCCTAAATCTCACCAAATATTGTAAATGCAGAATTGCTTATTAGTATTATGGCATATGCTTTTCATTTTGCTAACATTATAATATTTCAGAAACTTAAGCATAAGGCACTACACACCACTAAATATTTTTCTGAATGCTTAGGATTAACACATTCTCTTCACAGGTTCAATATTCTGAGCTGCTGGAACCAATAATATTATTCTTTAGCATTAAAGCCAATAAATAACTGCAAGTAGAGAACCAGCATGATATACAATGAGAATTGATCTGCACAAACCTTCAAAACTGCAACAAGAAAATTTAGAACTTGACTGAGAGACAACATGGCAAGCTAAGAAATAACTAGTAAGGAAGCATTAGGCCTGCCAGAGCTTTTACTGAAAAATATAGGAAGTTATCTGAATATGGCAAAACTACAAGGGTTATCTTACTAAGAAGATGGACTTTTGATGGAAACTGTCTCATATTCACTTTATACATGAAGAAAACCAACAATGCAGGGAATCTGTTCGCCTATGCAATTTGAATATGGCAAAACCATGAGGGATATCTGCCTAGGAGGAAGGATACCTTCATGGAGGCAGAAATATGGAACTTCATATTTAATTTACTTCAGTAACTTTGTAGAGTCATTCGGATTTCTTTGAAGTAGGAGACCTGAAGAATGAATGATGCCCCCGATGGGACGGACTTGAACCTGGACATCTCGAATACGCACCAAATGTGCCATCGCTACACCATGAAGACATGCAGAAAGGAGGGAGAAAATACCCCTATACTACCCCCTCTAAAAAGCAACTGGGGACCAGAGGACTCGATTTCCAAATCCTGCCAGTGAAGAACCTGTATCCACCACCTCCCAGTTTGGGCACCACTAAGTTGTTTCTTCCTGTGCCTTTGCAGAAACTCAAACCTGAACCTCTTGAATACAGGCTGTGCGTGCCAGTAATACAACACAAACGTATGCAGAAAGAAGGGAGAAAATATCTCATAGCTTAAACAAGATAAGTTCCTGCTGCTTTACAAAATGAGTATTTTCAACAACAGGAATTTCTGATTCAGAAAAAAACCATACAAAAAGCTAGAATTTTTATTTCGAGATTCTTATTCCAGAGCTTTATAAAACTATACATAATATTCAATACAAATTTTATTTTATGAAATCCCTAAACTCAAATTATGTGGGAAGTTACGCTTAGTTACACAATCTTTTTAATAGTAAGCAGCCATTCCCTTTCCCTTCAAAAATAAGCAAACTCAAATCATAGTAAAAATTTTATTTTTGTAACTTGTGAAAAACATAGTTTTTATGAACAATTAATTACAAATGTATTTAAATGAAGACACAAAGTATTAAAAAAGTGACATGTGCAGCAGTGATTACAGTGAACATATAAATATATTAGATTGGCCATTGCAAGCTCATTGTAGTGGACCCTGGAAGGGAAAAAGAAAAAAATTAAAAAGGGAAAAGTAAGAAATAAACTGCATAAAAATTACCAAAATGGAAAATTGCAAGTCTTTGTAGTATTTTCATGTGAAACATTTATTTCTGAAGAATATTAAAGAAAAAAAAAAAAAAAAAAACAGGTTAATGCAAATACTTTTAAACAATTATTTGATCCCAGGAAAGTAAACTAGGCTACATGCCAGATAAGAGGACCTTCATAAAGATCTTTCTAATAGATATCAGCCCATATTGATACTAAAGGACAAAACCATGAAAATCACATGGAATCAGCATATATAATTATAGGGAACAGAACAAGGTTAAGTGGCAGTGCTCTATAGCTAGTTGCATTGTCAAATATTAGCTTTAAAAGTATGTTTTTGAAAGTATACAGTACAAAGTCCGAAATCCGGAATGATCTAAAATTCTAACCTCAAAGTCAGAAACTTTTTTTTTCGTATGCTTTACACATGCGCGTTTGATTTTTCCAGGGCTGTGGAGTCGGAGTCGGGTAGATTTTGGGATAAAAGGAGTTGGAGTTGCAAAAAAACATGTCGACCCCAACTCCAGTTTTTACTGAACAGTTTGAATTTGAAATGAAATTAAAGTGAACTGAAAAAAAAAAAATTAATGACAAACTGAGTTAATATTTTTATTTATAAACTATATACATTAATAAATAGTTATTTTCTATTTTACTGACATATCAGTAAATAAATATAAGGGAGAAAGATGGACGTGGTATTTGCTATTATTAATTAAACTCATTTATTTAGTTACTAATCTCATTGGTGAATTTAAGTAAGTAGCAAGAACTCCCAAAATTGATGCTATTCATTAGGAAGCGAGCAGGAAAAGGAGAAACGCAATGGAGAAGTACATATTTGATGATATAGTGGTTGTTAGGATTAAGAACTTTTTCAGAAGATGTAAATAATCATAATATTTCACCAACAGAAAGACTGGAATGATCTTGCAGAACTGAAAACCCTTCTTTCAACATAACTGTATATAGCCATAAAAAAGCTACAATCTGAAGAATTAACAGAAGACGAGAATGTTGGAAGATGTAGATAACCCTAATGTTTCACTAACAGAAAGACTGTGGAATGATTTTGCAAAATTGGAAACTCTTCTTTCTATACCGTATATAGCCACCAAAAAGCTACAATCTGAAAAATTAACAAGAGGCAAGACTGGAAGAATGTGATGTTTGTTCTTTCTGAAATGGAAGGTTTATTGCAGAAGGAATCCTTTCTTCAATGAAGAAAAGAGAAACCAGTTCGCTAGACAATAAGATCGTGCTGGGTTCAATATATGTAGATCCAAATTGCCAAATTGTGTTGGATGACAAACAAATTAAAAAGGCAAAGAAAGCCATCTATGAACTTTCATTAAGAATGAAATTATTCTCAGAACAACTGGAGTATTCAAATCAGGACAGTCAAACTGCAGATATTGTAACTGAGTCTCTATCATCGTCTCGATACAAACAAGATTTATACACGGCCTTTGAAGAAATAGATAAATATGATTGCTCTTGCAAGACAGCTCTTTCAGAACTTATAAAAATCTATCTTGAAAAGTTAAGGAAGTAGCTCTACAGTAAGAGCTCCTCTTCCTACTCAAGTCAGTGTGGAAAGACTCTTCTCAGATCTGAAGTTTATCAAATCGGATCTATGGTCTTCTAACAAAGATCTTGCCGAAGTTTTACTATTTCTTAGCAATTACTATTGCCAATTTTTCCATTTTATAATAAATGCTAATATAAAAAATTTGCTATGCATCAATTTTTTCTGTAGCATCTATTACTTTTATATTAAAAAAATAAGCTGTACCCATGTGTATATGGGATACCACTTCCGAATCTTTGGGCCATTACACTTTGCCCTCTATCAAATTCATTAATAACGAAAGAGAAATGAATTCGATGGGAGCAGCCTTTCCCATCACTGGCAAGTAAGGGCAAAAATGATTCCTTATTTTCTCCAGCAGCAGTTAAATACCATTCCTACTTAATAACATATCTTCCACATCATCCAGATGACTTCACTGAAGAATGTCGATATGGTCATGTTTTGGCTCGTCAGTGCAAATCGAAGGAGACTATGTATTGAATGTATGAAATCTGGTCATAAAATTAATCCAAAGCAGATATACATGAGTTCACAGAAAAATGTTTATTCCAATTTTAATACAAACATTATTCCATGCCACACTGACAGAATTACAAACTACTTTATTTATTGAATAAATTAAGTTTTTATGTTGACTTAGTTTTAAGAGAAGAATTTAAAACTATTACATTTTATTTTTAATAATATTCATGCAATATATTTCAAATGAAAAAATTCTGAGTAATTCTAAGCCACTTATGTTATTCTTTCTATGAATATATGCCAAATACTAGCTCATAATGCACATGAAAGTATCACATAAAATGAACTCACCACTGGGTTTATATTCAAGCCCAATGTGGCCTGAATAATGTTGCTCAAGAAGGTTAAACACATCTTTATAATTGATTTCTCCTTTATGGCTTGGTTCCTGTCTCCCTGGGGCTTGGGAGACTTGAATGTAATCTAAAAATTTATGATACATTAAAAATGTACAAAATAATCTTTTATTCAAAACAACAGACAAAATTTTAAAATATAAAAGCAGTGCTTCTAACATTTATAATCACACTGAAAACTTTCAGACTTTGAAGTGTTTTCATAAATGAATGACACTTTAGCGATGATAAATGAATGAAAGAAAAATGGTACTTAATTATTTTAAATCACACTACAAAAAAGAAATCAGAGAAACATTTGAGAACACTCATCAAATATCAGTCAATGTAATCAAAAGTAAGTCTCAGTAAATTTTCAATTTAATGAACAGTAGTGAAAATCTAGCCATGACTGACATCAATGCCTTTATTTAGACTGAAAATCATTCACAAACTGCCAAAAATGGGCACTGTATCATTTTTAATTACACATTTCTCGCATGTACATTTTATACTTCTTAATAGTTTTGAGTTGTTGCACTCAGTGTCTCAATCATATAAAAATACTTTACCCTGCAATATAAGGATGTCCATGAAATGAAGCTACAATGTACACTGCTCGACATTGAAAATGCAACACCAAGAAGAAATTTATGCAAATTTGAGAGTAGACGCACGTCACTGAGTTATGCGAATGATGCGAAATGCACAGCTCTCCGACGCACGTGAAGTAAGATATAAGGGAAGGAACGTGCAAATTGGGCAATATTCATGTCGTTATTTCTGCCAGACGAATTATCGAAGAAAGTTGGTTTTTGTCCCGGACGATACATGTCCCGGAGAGAATGTCAGGCTGACGTCAACAAAGGCACTTCCAGCCAGATAGACGATTTTACGAGGGGTATGGTGATCGGACTGAAAAGGGTGGGTTGGTCCTTACGGCAAATCGCAGCTGATACCCACATGGATGCGAGCACGGTGCATCGGCTATGGCAAACATGGTTGGAACAAGGAAATGTGGAAAAAAGGAGGGGATACAGGTGCAGCCAGAGTGACATCAGCATGCCTGGATCGACGCATTCGCTGACAAGCTGTGGCAGTCCCACAAGTCACTTGTACCACGATTCTGCAGCATGTGCAAGATAGCCTGGATGTTCCCATGTCGACCAGAACCATTTCCTGTGCATTGGTCGAACGTGGCCTGCACTCATGGCATCCGTTAAGAAGACTGCCATTGACCCCACAGCATAGACACCAACGTTTAGAATGGTGCCAGACTGAAGCAATGTGGATGACAGAATGGCAAAACCTCGTGTTCTCAGATGAGTCACGCTTCTGTTTATCCAGTGACAGTCGCCACATACATGTGTGGCGTCGACGTGGAGACAGATCTAATCGGGCAGTAACTGTGGAACGCCCCACCACACGACAACGTGGCATAACGGTTTGGGGCGCTATCGCCTACGATTCCAGGTCACCTCTAGTTTGTATTCAGGGCACTATGACAGCCCAACGATACTTGGATAATGTACTGCGGCCGGTGGCAATCTCCTACCTTCAGGGGCGGCCTAATGCAATTTTTCAGCAGGATAACGCCCGACCACACAGTGCTCACATCTGCCAACATGCTCTGCAAGGTATACAGATGCTTCCCTGGCCACAGTACTATCCTGACCTGTCACCAATCGAATTTGTGTGGGATGTAATTGGGCTACATTTGCAGACTCTGCCCCTGCCTCGTTCGTTCAGAAGATGAACTGTGGCAAACGGTTGAAAGGGAATGGAGAGCCATTCCTCAGGACACCATCCTCACTCTTATTGACTCTATGCCTAGATGTGTTTTTTTGTGCATCACTGTCCGCGGTGGTTCTACATCCTACTGAGCCGACGCCGTTCTCGCTCCGTATTCTGACTATCATTTTGAAATAAAGATCACTTATGGCTGCTTGCTGTCTCTGTCTTTTTTCCAAACTGCGTCACTTTCTGACCACTCCTTGGTGTTGCATTTTAAGTGTCGAGCAGTGTAATTTAATCAAAATAATATGCAGAGAGACATGAATGGCCTGTAAAAGAATTTGTTTATCCACTGGCGAAAGCACTTCCTCTGGCACAATGCCTAGTAGTATGCTATATAAAAAGTGAGGCATAAATTTTTGATATACATTCAAAAGTCGTTAATCCGGACTTCGCCGAATCCGGATTATCGATTTTTCCGGATTATAGATCATCAGTTTAAATCTCGTAAGATGGCATGCAGAAATTATAAAATTAAAAATATGAAACCGTAATTTATGAAATAAAGAACAATTATGATCTAAAGGGTATCAAAATTTACAAGACAAAAAAAAAAAAAAAAAAAAAAAAAAAAAAAAAAAAAAAAAAAAAAAAAAAAACAAAAAAAAAAAAAAAAAAAAAAAAAAAAAAAAAAAAAATGGGGGGGGGGGGGGGGGGGGGGGGGGGGGGGGGGGGGGGGGGGGGGGGGGGGGGGGGGGGGGGGGGGGGGTATTAATATTTATTTTTACTTTATTAAACATTTCTTTCAATGTAAGTTGTTTAAGTTGCTTCGTTTTATGTGATAATACTTTCTCTTTAATTCTATAAACAGACATAATTTCTTGTTCAGTTACAAAGTTCCGCTGTTCAAGTCCTATAATTGCTGTGTCGAGAATACCGACTAATTTGTCAAATGAAATTTTTTCGTTTTCAATAACCTCTGTGTCACTTTCTTCACTATCGGAAGCGAATTATAATGACGAGGAATTTTATTTAAATCATATCAAAGACGGAGTACATCGAGATGAAATACTACATTTAGTAAGGAATTATAAGCCAAATAAAACAAAAACATCTGCCCTGAAGATAAGGATAGTGCTGACAGATCAACTTCCAATTCATTGCGCGCCACGGCGTTTCCCCCCCCCTCCCCGCCGCAGAGCAGCGTGAAATTGATAAACAAATTTCGGAATGGTTAGAGAAACAAAGGATATGCCTTTATCCATTTTTTGCAGCAATTCCACTTTTTGTTTAATGGACTTCGAAACATACTTTTGCTTTGTAGATCCTTTACATATTAGTAAATGTATATCGGAAATTCTATTTGACATAATCGAAAGTTCAAGCTTACTTTTATAACATTGCCCTAACAGTCTGCAAAAAATAATAAGCTGGATCCAATTCTAAGATTAAGGAGCAACGCAATCTGCAACGTTAACTGAATTAGATAATTTTAGCTTAGCTTATACCGTCTGTTATACATTAAACGCGTATGCTTAAACGAATTATGCGCATGCGCACACGCATATTCGCAGCCGTAAAGGTCTTATGCCTATGCGTAAATGCCTATGCGCATGTGTCAACATGACGCATGCGCAGAAAGTTTGTAGCTTTGAGGTCCAGATTATAGATCATTCTGGATTATGGGTGTCCAAATTAACGACTTTTGACTGTATTTAGTTTAGATGCATAAATAATAATTCATACTTTAAGGCAAGGAAAGAAACAGGATGCTTAGTGAGGACCATTCTTTCACAGCCTGGTGAATTCTCAAAGATGAATCTAGCCACAACCACTTTAAGAATTAATAGCAAAAACGTTTGGCAGTTCATACACATGGAAACCATCTTAATAGAACTGAGATATAAATGCCAACCAAAAAAAGAAAAAAAAAAAATTCTTCATCATTCATTGATTACTCGCAAGCATGAGTGATCTAAAGACATAATCCTGCAATGGTTGGGTGGTTGGTTGGTTGACTTTGTTAGAACTTTTCATAGTATAGTGGATGCTGTTGTGGCGAAAGAATTTTTCTGTGCGTTTACATTATGGAACTGTAGGTTTGCCGTTGCGATGTGTCTGTATTACTGTGATATATTTTGGTGTTTTCATTAAATATAAACGAAAGACATCATCATGTATTTTTGTATACCAAATCAAGATCAAAATTACCACTGATGCAAACTTGTCGAAACAAAAATAGCATTCGTACAAGAATCTTCAAGTGTTATACTCGCTTTTTGAATTTCGCATTCGTATCGTTAGTCGCTTCGTAATATGTGGCGCATCCGTCGGGAAACACTGTATGGTGGAGTGAGTAAATAGTTTAGTTGAAAATTTGTTTGAATAGAATATTTTGTAATTGTTGAAGTAGTAAAGTTGTTTGATGTGGTTGACCTTGTTTGATAAAAATTTACAACTTTCGTTTTCACATTTACTGAATGTTGGCATTGATATTTGGAAGTTTGAATGTATTTGCACGTAAGAAAATGTTGTGTTTTCTTAGAATTAGAATTTGCTGTTCATGCTTGAAGTGCGATTTGTTGTTGAAAATTACAGTTTGTTTTCTTAAAATTCTAGAATTAGAATTTATTGTTAAAGTATTTGAGGGGTAAAATTTGCTACTAGAAACTGTGAAAATGGCTAAACTGTTAAAACTTTGAACTAAGCGTGACACACATCGTGAACAAACTTTAAAGTTAGTTAAAAATATAAACAAATATTTGAATGAATCGCATATCGACGTAGATGTGATTAATATTTAGAACAGCTGAATAGTAAAATTGAAATTATTAACATACTAAATAGTAACACTGATGAATTGTTGAAAGAACAAGAAATTAAGAATGAAATTAACAAAGTAGATGAATATAACGAAAAAATAATACCAGTTAAAGTCAAGTTGCAAAACAAAATCAATTGGAATAGTTCCATATTAGTCAGGTGAACAAACAGTAAATCCAGAAAATGTTCACGTAGAAAATAAAACTTTGCATTTAGAAAACAGAACTAAACACCCTAAACTCGCTTCCTCGATTCTATGTTGAGCCTTCAGAATATTTAGATTTTTGGAATCAATTTGAGAATTCTATGCATAATAATTCTAATTTAACTGACGTTGACAAATTTTGCTATTTAAAGTCATTATTAGGTGGTAAAGCCCTAGCTTAGAATTAAAGGATTCTCAATTACTCCAGAGAATTATGAACAGGCTGTTAAATTAATTTCTGAAACATTTGGTCAAAGAGACATTTTAATAAATGCTCACTTGTCAAATTTATTAAATCTGGCACCTGTAAAAAATGCTTCTAACAT